AGCTGCAGACATTCAGATGCAAGTGGCAGATAAGACAGCGAGAGTACTGGAGAGCAGAAAAGGAGTGAGACAAGCAATTTTCAACAACCATTTTCCTTCTCTCTGATGTTGAGGCCTTATGTCAAGTTGGTTTATGCCAAAGCCTCCTCTTCCCAGCTGGACATGACCCGGCATGCTGCACCGCGTTGGATGGTGTCCATTTCCTTCCCATTAACAGGGGCGGTGCTTTATTACTGATGGTATGGTCTCTCAAATCCCTCAGAGTCATCTGGAATCTCACCTTAGAGCATTTGTACTCTTCGGTGAGGCTCGTGATCGGTAGTTCAAGGACCCCTTTGCCAAAGAGGCTGATGTTGTCAGACAGCGTGGGACACTGAGACATTTCTTCACACATGAAGTTATGGTTCGCTCCATCTTCTCCACAGTTGTTATTGGGACCTCGTAGCTCGTGAGTGGCCACATTTTCCATGGAAGAAGTCCAAATTGCAGGCACCAGAGTTTGAGCTTCCCAGGTAGCAAGGTCTTGGTGATGTTTCCAGGTAGTTGGTGATGTCTTGCATTATTTGCTGCACTTGTTCTTTGTCCCCGAGGTTTGCACTGTACCAGGCATGTGCTGGTCAGTTTAAACTATGCATTGTGTGCCAGAATATATGTAGTTTGTATACAAAACTTTAACAACATTAAATATCTCCTTTTGTGTGCTTATTCTTGTTGTCTTGCAAGGTATGGACAGGTGACTGTGAATATAAACCTTCTCATCGTGAGACAATCGTGACTTTATATGTATCTATCGATCATTAAAATTTTCTCATAGAAAGCGGTTTAAGGCTGTCACTGAACCATATCTCAAACACTGAGTCGTGCCTCTTGGTAACTTACCGACAGATTGCACATTCCAGTTATTGGAAAAGAGCAAACACTAATGTTCAGTACAGGGAGAGGAAGTGGGAGCAGAATGTCCATCCATCCACTTTCTAAACACTTTTTTATCCTCTGTAGGGGGGTCGGAGCCTTATTTGTTAAATAACATCTGTAATTTTGTTGTGCAATCTTGTGATGTAAAGTGACAATTAAACTGAATCCTGAATCTTAATAATTGACCTACATCCAAGCAGCTTATACATGAAAGGACAGGGATATTGATAAGCATAATAGTTTTACTTTTACACAGTCTGCAGTTTTTTGCATCTTTTCTTCCTGACTTTGGCTGCAGCACTTGTGCTGTTTTTAGACTAAATCATATTGAAACTCTTCACATTGGTTCAGAATTGTAGTTTGTTCTTCTTTTGCAAAGCATATAAAGGTGCACACACTCACATGCAGCCTTCTATGTGATGTAAGAGTCAGTCTTCTTAGCATTTTGAATTTTAATTTTTCATCTGCACACAAAACCGTTTAACACCACAAGGGCTGCAGCTGAGGCAGTAAAACTGTCTTAGAAAGAACACAACTAAGCAGCGCGTTCATTTAATAGAATATATAGTCGTAATTATATTCGGATTGACTTGTGCACTAATGACTTTGTAGTGACATCAAAAAGCCTGTTAACGTTCACAGTCCCTTTTTTTTTGCAGCTTTCCTTTCTGCTTTAGCTGCTGCAGCTCTGTATTATGTGTATTATGTGTTTAAAATCATTGTATGTCTCTAATATTACAACTTGCTCTTGGTTTGTAAAACATGCCCCTCTGATGCTCGTAGGTTTTTCCATGTTTGATCGGTCATCTGGTGCAAAGTCCGTCTCTTTCACGTGAATTCACTCAAAAACCCTGTTTGACTTACAGAGTTGAGAACCAGCTTCACATAACCGCTTATTCCAACTGCACTGTTGGGTTAAGAAGAGCCAGATAACAAATATATATACTGTGGGTATGTTGAACCTGCTTCTTTGCTCCCTGGTGTTACCGAGATAACTTCAGATTTAACTCCTACTTCTTTCACCACCATGGCAACATGCTGGACTCCTAACCAGGTCAATACATATTAAAACATCACCTACTGACTATTTGATTGTCTTTTAAAATAGTCAGAGAGTGAAGCCAGATAACAAAGACATATCCTGGATATGTTGAACTCGTTTTGTAGTTCAGACGTCAGCTGGTTGGTCTGAATCACAAACTAGACACT